ATTAATAATTACGGCTTTGAAGATTGTGATCAGATATGCGGGTAAAATGAAAAAAACGATTTGTTCCAATGTTCACCGTTCAGCAGTTTAACAATTTGTTTTCCTATTTTGAAGCCGAACCCAATCCGCGAATACCTACCTAACAATATCCGCGACTGCTGCTCAAAATTACTGTCTCTTACCTGAGCTATCTTTGACATCAATGTTAACTTTAGTTTTGCAATAGAAATTCTGAATTTCTTCTTCTTATTATGCCATTCGTCAACTTTCAAATTTCTTTATTCCTTCCAATTATTCTCTCTCCTGATCCTTCTTCGCTACCTCCCAACTTCCAATCCACTTTCGCATTTCATTTAACAACACCAACGTAGTACTATTGTTCTGTTTGAACTCAAAAACTACCAGTTAATTGAATTACGGAATTCTGTTAATCTAACAAAACCAATTGCTAATTTGACTTTCTGGTTTTTAAACACTACCAGTGACTGAAAATTTTTTTTCTTTTTGTTGCCTCCGTCTCCTCATATCATACCGTCTTCATCGGCCGATCTCTGTGGGTGACAATTTTCTTCTGCAGATCTTGCATGTACTTGTAATGTACCGGGTATAACAGTCATCTAATTGTGCTGCTTAACCTGTTTAGGGCAAAAAGAACCGCAAATTTAAATCTAAACACTCAAAAATTTGTTAGGATTCATTAAGGAACTGTTTCCAAAGAATTTTCTGGTTGTATACTGTAACGGTTTTGATGATCAACAACAGACAAAAAGTGTGATAAAGTTTGATTTGCCACACTTTAACAAATATCAATTCGTCTAAATAGGTCCCGGTCCCCTCTCCCCCTTTTTCCATCCCCTCATCAAGATCATCTGTCATCAATTTTTGTTGTACCAAACGCAAATATTTCTTTTTGCGGTCTCCAAATTAAACTACAACAAAAAAAAAAAAAAAAAAATAAATTTTTTTAACCTAAAAAAAAGATCAATGACTTTGATTGTGGAAGATAAATAAGAACGCTTAACAAAATTTGTTGTTGATATATTGCGCATAAAAAATTTGGTTCTTCATAGTTACTATCAGACAATATGTATCTGCAGATCGAAGTTTATCGTTATTTATAAGCCATTTTTATTTAATTTTCACATTTTTTTTTTTCTGTTTGAAAGAGAAGAAGAAATAACAATTTTTACCCGATTCATTTGAACCAATTATAAAAAAATATTAAAAAAAAATTTTTATTTATCGATAGATAGAGATAACATACAAAAATTTATTGTGATTATCAATGTTATTACTTTGTAAAAACTTACATCTGTAATTTCAATAACACATTCCGACAGATTCGGAAGTGCAGCTGATTAGATGCTAAAATTTGATCAATTTTTTTCTTTTTTTTTTTCCTTTTTATTAATTATTTTGCGTAAATACTAAAAAAAAATAGCAATTCTTAGAAGACTTTAATGAATCTATAGTCGGCAAAAAATCCTTTTATTTTAGTTAATCCCCAGACATCTGCATTTTTTTTTACACGTGTCTTCAAAGTTTTTGAGCAATGAAGCGGTGGATAACAGCAAACAATGCAAACGGTCACTGCTTTGCCTGTTTTTATC